ACGTTTCAATATGAGCGCGGGAAACGCCGTGAAAGAGGCGTTGTGGTTCCGCAAACTCGGAGGAGATCTCGGGTTGGACCTCGGAGCGATCCTAATTCATTGCGACAACCAAGGCGCAATACGGCTCCTCAAGCATCCGATCGCTTCGCAGCGATCGAAGCACATCGACGTGATTCATCACTTTGCGCGGGAGCGGGTGGCGCGGAAGGAGGTCGAGTTCGCGTATTGCAAGACGGAGGACATGAAGGCGGACATCTTGACCCAGGCGTTGGCGCACCCGGAAAGTTCTTGAAGTGCAAGAAGGAGATAGGAATTGCATAGGATACTTAGTGCGTGGGGGAGTGTTAGAATTGGGCGGTACTAGCCTTGACTACGGCCTAATATCCTATGATTTATCGTCCATAGAGTCGTAGGTTTGATGCATAACATCGGCCGTACGATTGTGAGCCTGCATGATTGAATATCCACCGTAGGATGTGCTAAACGTAAGCCGCAGGATTGAGTCCATTGTGCATGGGTTCTTTTGTGATGTGTATTTCGGTAAAGCCGTTTGATAGGTTCTTTTGTTGCCAACGTCGAATAGGGACCGTCGATTTGTCGATTGGAACACCTAGGGTAGCTAGGCTTGAGCTAGGCTGTAATACTTGGACTCATGTAGCAAAAGAATCACACTCATTCCTAGTAGTTGTGCACTTGAAAGGCGCTTGCTTTCTACACAGAGCATGTTAGCCATATCGGACAAACATTTTTGCCGTGAATGTTGGGGACACAATTTGCAAGAAATAAATCGACTTGAAACCCGTATACCGGCTCTTTTCAATGGACACGGCAACATGAGAAGCCCACATAGAACCAGGACACGCCAATAAAAAATGGTGTACCACTTCAACTCGTAAATGATATTAGTTCATGACCGCCGTCGAAGGCCAATTCGTTTGCCTTTGGACACGGGTTTGCTTAAAGGTGAAAGCTCGTTATAACAGCGCTAGCTTACACACAAAAGCTCTGACCACTTTTGGATGGCTATATTGGAAGCAACATCTCGAGCGTTCAGCGGCGTTCTTACTGCCGCACAGCTGTACAAAAATATGCACATTTTCCCGCAAGTACTGTTCTTTTCTGAGTACAGTAACGAGGATTAACAAGGAAACGGACAAGCTTTTTTCTTGTCAAAACGTGAAAGTCTGTTTATAAGTCGACCGAAGTTCGACAGCCCGTTACAATGTCTATTCTTTTTCCACTCACTATTATACCGATTCCGATTCGCTGGTGGACTTTGAGACGCTTTGCAACCCGAATCGCTTTTCGACGTTTTGGCCGGGACCATCCGTGGCGCCCTCGTGTCCGGCTTGGAACCATTGTCTAAAGCCGATTGGTCGCTTTATCCGGCTTGCCAAAGGGAATTGTCCCTCCCATCAAATTTGGACGAAGTCGAATTATTGTCCGTTTCACAGATGCTGGGAGAGATCGTTCTTTCGACCGGCCGCGTGCTTTTTTTGTCCAGATCTAAAATCTTTTGGCTGACCAAAACCGTTCCTCTCTCTTCCAAATGGGGGTCACTGTTCAAGGCCGAGTCCGAATGAGTGGCCGTCTTCGACTTGCTGTTTTCAACCGCCCTTCTGCCAGCCGGCTCCCCCGTGTCCGAATCTGCAGATAACTCTACGAATCCGTTTCACTTTCCGACTCCGACTTCCTCCTGTCCGAATTAAGATCACTGTCCGTGCCCGAGTCCGAATCGCTGTCTGTCTCCGATTGCTCTTTTGGACCGCCCGTTTGACTGCCGCCCCCCCCGTGTCCGAATAACTTTCCGAATCCGTTTCCCTTTCCGACACTGGCTTGCTGATCAAGACCGGCTACCTCGTGTCCGAATTAGTGTCACTGTCCGAGCCCGAGTCCGAATCGGAGTCCCAATCGCTGTCCCTATTCGACTTGCTGCTTTGGACCACCTCTTTGAGTGACCCGGCTCCCCTGTTTCCGTATGTGGAAAAAATCCTCCGAACCCAAGGTCGCTTTCCGGTCATCCTGGTCGCTCTCCGGCTTGCTGAACGATTGAGTCTTGTGACCGAACCGATTTCCGCTTGTTAGCGGCCGAGCAATTATCCGAATCTTGTTCGCTTGCTAACCGAGACCGGCTTTCTCCAATTCTGTTCAACGTCATCGTCCGAGCTAGAGTCAGAATCCGAGTCGCTACTTGTCTCCGGCTTGTCGAATGTAACTCATCGTCGGAATGAATCCATTTCTAGCCTGTCCGCTTTTGATTCCCTCCCGAAGCTAAGTCTGCGCGTCGGCTCCCCGCTTGCTGGCCCGACCCAGCACTGTACCCGAAAGCAGCTTCCTCGTCTTCAAATTGCAGCCACTGTCCGAAATCGAGACGCTCTCTGTCTCTCTCATGTTGCTGAACCGAACCGTCTTTCTGACACGAAGTTGGTCCCTCACGTCAGAGTTCAACTCAGTAGTCGAACGTGGTCCAATATTTGTCCGCGTTTGAATCGAATCAAGGCTTTTGTATTCGCAATCCAGTTTACTGACAAACCCGTCTGGAGAACCATCTTTGCTTTGTTGACCGGAATTCTTCGAACTCGGTGATCATAGTCAGCCGAATTACTGTCTGATTAAGATTCGGCCCGTGTTAGGGTATGAACTGGTGAATACCGACGTGCGTGTACTGCGGTTGGACGGTGAAACCGTTAAGCGGTTTGGAGGTTAGGCTGTTGAGAGCGGCCGTCAGTGTTAGCCGTACATAAGGATATCGAAGGCTAAGATCGAGTGTGACTGTGAGCTAGACTAGTGAGCCTAGTAGTGTGACTTAGGCTAGTGAGCTCAGTAGGCTACTGAGCCCAGTGGAACGGGAAAGACCCGTAAGCCATATGATGGTGGAAACCACTATTGTGATACATCATTCTAAGAGAGTTTTGTGGAGAGAAGGAAGCCGCTTGTGGGGCGCTTCGTGTG